TTTTATTATCTATAATTATTTTTTTAATATTTTTGCATTTTAAAAAAGTAAATCAGAGCTAAATGAATACAAAAATACAAACAAATTTGTTTGCATTGGCTTACAATCTAAAGGATATGTATCACCTTCTTTGGTTGTTAAATTAGACATATAAACCTTTGCAGTTTTATAATTATATTGAATAAATGATAAAATATGACTTGCTGAAAAAGAAAAAAAAATCAAAAACTTTATCTATTTTTGTTCTTTAGTTTATTATTTTTGAAGTTGATCATTAGAAATTAAATAAGAATAAAGTATGTCATAAATATAAATAATTTTTACAGTTATTAAGAGCAGACTATACTAAAATAAAATAGCCTAAAAGTATTTGCTTATCGTAAAAGTATATATATAAATAATATTTAATTAGACTTTCTTGTATAATATAAAGTAACTAGATTTCTTTGTATTACAATATGGAGTACCAATAATAAACCGGAATTATTTATATAATCTATATCCTCTACTCTAACCCTAACTTTAACCTTAACCTACTCTGGTACAACATAACCCTAACCCTAAGATCGAACTCTAACTAATCCGAATTTTAATTATCGATAATCACAACCTGCTATATTTAACAAAAATCTTTATATTGTATTTTAAATCAGAAATAAATTCCTCCGTTTAACAACTGCAATTTACCGCTATCGCTATTCAAATATTATCCTCCGGATAAAATTTATATTCGCATTCACAAAATATCAAACAATTTACATATATATTCGGGTCTAACAACACTTCGTTTGCTATATCAATCAACAAATAATAATTAATTCCAACTTGAGTAGTACAACTCTCAATAAGCTTACAAATTAGTCCGTTTGCATAAGAAGTTTTCGATTTCCGTCCAGTTAAGAAAACTAAAGATCACTTTTTATATATGGCAAAAATTTGTGAATGAGGTTAAACTCAGTGAACCCATTAAAAAATAAGCTTTTTAATTTTCATCCAAGGAATTTTATTCCAAAGGCAAGAAATGAGTACCACTGTACCACGACTTACAAAATTCGCGCAAAACAATAACAGAACAACTACTTGGTGGTTGAGTTATTATCCTCCCCGCCTTTTGACCCTGTTTCTTCTAGGTTCTCTCACGTCTTTTGTAATTGATCATTTGCTTACTCAGAATAACATAACAGAGTATCCAAAAGACGTTACAAAGTTAATTGACACTGCTGCTTGGATTCCTCCAACTTGTGGTTTATCCGCAATTCTAGTAGGTTCTATGTTTCCTTTAGCTGATTATTGGTTCATGCGTAAACCACAAGAGTTTCAAAGAGAATGGAGTAATGCTATGAGGTAATGTTTAACTTTATATCGTTAATTCATTTCTTATCAAATTTATAATTTTCTAGATTTCTTCTAAAATAGATGTATGGGCGGATTTATTGGTGTGGCATATGCTGCCACGGTAAGATCAATTAAACTCTGTTTTCAATTTTCATTCCTTCCCATATTATCTCATTTCTTCTATTTTATTCATTAAAAAAAGAAATTGCCCTGGAGTAGCAACTATCAAGTTTCTTGTACGTTAGCTCTAATATCTATTGTATTATGGTTCCTATTTGACCGTACCTCCCATGGATTTATCATGTCTGCGTTATTTTCGTTGGTAGGAACTGGTGTTATGTATATTTTAGTTGCTAATGGAATTTATAGGTTAGTAATTTTGTTCCTTTTTTTTCCTTTCGTTAATTTTTATCTTTAATAACTTTGATTTATAATTATAGTTTTACACATGCTGATTTTTTTGGTGTGCGTTCTTGGATTCCTGTATGTAATCTATTTTTTTGAATGTTTGTTTTATAGTTGGTTGTTTATTTTATGAATTTGTTAATTTACTTTTAGTTCATGTTTTTTAGTGTATTTTATATTCTTCATGTGTATGTTTTGGCACAATAGGAAGGCAATTAATGATAGTACCAGAAGATTGGTATGATGGGAATGAACAAAATAAATTTTGTGAAGCAGATTGTTTGATATCAGTAAAAGGAGAATGATAATTATTTAAGATGAGGGCTTGATAACTTAAGGGTGATGATTTTAAATATCAAAAAAATAATTAATATATTTGAAAATATTTTTGATTATTATAACTGTATTATTACTTTTTTTAGAGGTTATTTTGAATTATTTGAATTATTTTAGAAGAGGTAATGAAATGAAAATATGTTTATATTCAATAATGAAAAAGTATTATGTATTTTTTTAGTTAGAAAAGATTATTATTTGTATTAATTGTTATTTTTTTTATTTTATTTGGTTTTAATTTAAATAGACAATTGTTTTAGGAATTTTATTTTTGTCAAAATTAACTAGTAAGACTATAATAGTAAAATATATAATTTATATTAATTTGTTTAATTAGAAACTAGTTATCAATTTAATAAGTTAAATTTATTTTTTTATACCAAATTTAATATAGTTTAAAAAATAAAAATATAATTTAAAATATAATAAATTTAAAAATTTTTATATACAAAAATTTAATAAATATTCAAAACTAGTATAGTACAAATATTATTAATAAATTTCAATTATTATAAAATATATTTATAATATTTTATTATTATAAGTAATATATTAAATTTAGACAATATAGGTTATATTATTTATAGTATAAAAATACCGATCTGTAAATTCTAGATTATAAGATTTATTATAATTAATTATTAAAGAAATTTAATATATAATAGATTAATCTAAAGAAAATAATTATTATAAACTTTATATAAGTTTTTAACTTTTTTTTATATATCTTTATTATTATAAAAAATAAAAAATAGCAAAAATAAAAAACTAGTTTGTTAATATATTTACTATTAAATATTATATCTTTAAGTATTATCTACTCTTAAACAAAGTAATAAGATTTTAGCTTCTATAATTTACAGCTAAACAATATACAAATTTTAAAGTAGTAAAGAAATAGCTTAAATAATAAAAGTTAATAATTTTTTATATTAGAAAAAAAGATCTTTAGACAAAAGATTATATAAGTTAACTTAATAGAAAAAAACTAAATTCAGAACCTATTTTTAAGACAAATTATAATTTTAAATTTTTAAAATATTAAAAAATATCCTTGTTTTTTAACTTTAATACAAATATTTTACAAAAAATAAGCAATTATAGTTTATTTCTATTTAATTCTTATACTATATCTTATATATTACAAAATACAATAATAATAACAAATATGTATAAAATTTTTATTTTTTTTTTTGTTATTAAGGCGGCTTACATTGCTGAAGGAATTTATTAGAATTGCATACAGGATATACATTGATAGTCCCTACTGTTTGTAATTACATGAAGAGTATACAACAAGCTA